ACAGCGCTCTCCTCTGCAGCCACTTGCTAAATCATTTAGTGGTCTGGGCTGCGGGAACAAAGTGAATTGCATATTAAAGAGCCCTTGAAGCAGTGAGTCATGATGACACATGGAGAAAGCAACCAGTTGTGAATACAAAAAGTGCTAGCAAACACAAGGCACCTCAGAAAAGGACATGGGAGGCAGATACCTTGAACACAGATACTTGGAAATACCCAATAAGAGGATGTTTTATGATGCTGCAGGATGTTTTAAGCTCAGTTGCTGCCAGCTAGTTCATTTTGCAAGCCCTAATAACCACCAAGAGTAGTGAACGCCAATGTCAGTGCAGCAACGAAGTAAGATCTGCCCAGAGGTGGCCAAGCTGGTGCTCTTGAAGTACATGGGCAGTTCAAGCGTGGCTTAGAGAAGCCATCCGTGATGAGCAGCGCAGGCTGCTGCAGGATTGCCAGAGAAGCCAAAACCAGAGGAATTTCCCCAGCAAAGAGTTAAAATGGCAACTGAGCATAATTCTTTGAGCAGAATAGGTGGTTCCTCCAGGTCAGCAAAGCACAACCGCTATGCAAAGGATGGGCACTGCTCAGCACAGATCCATCGTGCTTGAGAGTTCCCACCTTGCTGGGAAAGGCATGATTGTATTTTTGGGGTGCATTTAGGGATGTCAACAGCTTGGTTAGGCACGTCAACGGCTGCCAATCTCTATCCTGTATTCATCCCAAGGCCAAGCTCTCCTCCAGACCATAATACACCTACCTAAAGCATTGCTTCAGCCTAACACCAGAAGTGTTCATCAGTTGTTGAACAAATCGAGTAGTTCAATACTGACAGTAGTGCTTTCTGTCCCAGAGCTATCTTACCTGTAGTTAACAACAGTGATTAATCACTATTGCAGTTGGTGCATCCCAAGAGACGTCCTTGACTTTTTATTATTCTCATGCTTACAGAAGGACAAACCGAGTCCTTAGCCTGAAAAATGGCTTGTCCATAATGCCACTTGGGAAGTCACTGGGAAATGTGGGAATGCGTGCTGATCCTCTGCAGCCTCCGGTCTCCAGCACTAATCTACTTTACTATCAACAAAAGACACAATTAAAGAGTTGACCAACGATTTTTACCATATCCACAGGTGATTTTTCACTCATCATCTGGTAGGCACACAAAAATATGAGACAGAAATAAGCCCTCTGACATTCTGCTTGCATTGAAGTCAGACAGCTAAAGACAGATAGACAAAGTCAGAACACTCCATGCGGTGCATATGAAATGACAAATGGATGCCAGCAGTCATGGTCACAGCCATGTGTGCCCTCTGCCTTCTTCTCAGAGGGACAGAGAGGTGCCCTCTAAGACGCTGAAGGAAGCAGGAGAAGACAAGCCTATGCTTTTCATTGTGTCTTACCCCTGTGAGGAAGTCCAGGCTGGAAAAGGAGAAAATGGGAAATCTCAGTCCCTCTAAAAGGGCAGCACCGGGAACTGCTTTGTCTTCAGATCAAACAAGTCACATCTACCGAGGAGGAGCTGGGGGAGAGGTCTGGGATCACCACCCTGAATAAAGGTTGGATTTCTGCAGTGGTAGTGATCTGTCACCTTGGACTGATGCTCTTCCAACCTTCCTTCTCTGAGGTGGAGCCACACAACTCTCCTACTCACTTGGAGCCCTCCCCACTTCTCATCTGCAACCAGCTCTTGCCGCCAAACTTGTACAAACACCATCATCTTCAAATCTTCCATCTCCCTGCTCAAGCTTGTGTGCAAATGGCCAGCTGGGATGGGGCAGGCAGGGGAATACACGTATATATACAGAGGCCTTAATTTCTGCAGAACTAAGCCAAAATTATTTTGGTATATTGGCTTTTAAATTGCTACCTTCAGTGCTCATGGGAGGTGCTTTTGTTCTTACCTCCTTAGCAAAACGTGCAAGCAAGGCCTGACTACCTCTTCTCTGTCTCCTTGAGCACTTGTATCTTCCTATTTTTTCTCCCTGAATCCTCTTACAGATGTTTCCCTGTGACTTTAAGCATTCCCATACCCTGCTTCTCTTCTGGTATTTACTGCTAAAGGTGTAGTGCTGAGAAAAAAAATCTGTATTTTGGTGCACTGCTTTGCATCACCATGCTCCACGCAGCAGCCTCTTGTTTTATGTTGGCCAGTTTTGCTCATTGAGCAAAGGGTATTGAAAGAGACGTATTTCGTTTGCCCAGACTGCTTGATGCTCTCCGTTGGGCTAACTGGACATGAGGAAGAGGTACCTGGAAAGAGGGAAGGGGCAATAAGAAACGAGCTGCAAATTAAGACAAAAACTGGACCTCCCAAACTATAGCCTGAAGCATAAAAGTTGAGGTAGTTCAGTTTGGAAACTTTTCACTTAGATGATCTAAACTCACAAATACAGAATGCAATAACAAAAGAAATATAGTACACCGATGTTGTAAAGCTTAGAAAATTAATGGGTCACATTGAAATGTTAATGACGAAGCCGTTATATTGCATTTTGATTTTGTGTGGCTCCAACACATTCCCATCAAATCCATAATCAAAAGCGATGTGCTCTCATAAAGCACAAATACCTTTCAAAGAAAATACAGCATCAACATGTTTTCATCAGACCCACTTACAGCTTAGAAATACTAAACAAACATTTCCTTTCTCACCCTAATTATTGAGCAGGCTATGTAGTAGCAAAGATGAATTCACTTTAATTAATTTTATGATCTTTTAAATAAGGAGGGGAAAAGTCTCTTTCCTGTTTATTACTTTGCAGCTACATAGCTGGTCTTAATTTGCAGAACTGATGCTTCCCTATAGCAAATTGAACCACTTTCATTATCTGCATTTACAAGTAGGGGACTGAGGAATGAAGCACAAAACTTTCTTTCCCCAAAGCCATTGAACAGATCAGCATCAGGATGGATCAAAACCCACAGCAGCAGTGCCCTGCTGTAACCACTAAGTAACACCACCTTTATTTAACACCGACCATTATCAATTTGCAAATGCTACTGACGGAGAAGACCTACTGGGTCCTTTTGCAGTTCCCTGTAAGCACAGGCTTTTTCCATGCCATGTGCTGTAGACGAAAGTGCTTTATACAATCCCTACATTAAAATAATTCAAGCAGGAGGACATCTCTCATTTCCTTCGGGGGAAACAATTCTGTAGCTGAATAGATTGCAGCATTAGGAAATATTTCCTGATGTCCAGCCCCTGCCACAGCTTCTAGAATCTGTTGATATATTATTAATAGAAAGGAAAAAAAGTATAGGTATTAATGCCAGCAGACACTGTCTACTACTAATAGCTGCTAAAGTAATATATCCCCCTTGTTTTTAGCTTTTATTAGTCTTTTTGCAAAGGGTTACAAGACCCTTATGCATCCATTAGCCAGTCAGCCATGTGAAATTAATGTGGAGCAATTTTCATAAGCATTACTCAGAACTAATAATAATTAAGCATTATTTTCTGCTCAGATAACACACAAAATAAAGTCTGACTTTTATGCCAAGATGGGTTTGCATTAGCTTAAGGTAGATGAATTAATTCTCATTTACAAGGCTTCTCCACCAGTTAGGCAGAAAATATCAAGGTAATTAAAACCAATTTGTGAGGTTCTGTCCCATTGCACATTCACTGAGTTTTATCATTGCTGCAAATTACAGGTGCTTTTATGCCGTTGCAAAGGTGGGACATGAAGAAGACCTTGCTGCTTGCCTTCTTCCCCACCTCTTCCAAGAAAAGCAACCCCTCTGTGAAGACCAGACCGCATTTTGCAATGCACTTTGTTGCAGCAGAAACAACAAAGGACCGTGTACTGAATGAAGGACCAGATCAGTCCCAGCCCAGGCTGGGCTGTGGACCTCCCAGCAACCCATGTAAAAGGCCTCTAACAGAAAAAAAAAAAAAAGTTATCTCCTTTTGATTTACCATTTACTTGCAAGGGATTAATTTTGGCTAATTACAAAGCCAAGGGGTTTTATGGATAGCTCAGACACAGTTCTCTTCAGCCAGTCAGATTTTTCTCTATCGTTGCCTTTAACAACCAAAATCCAGCATTTGCAGCCCAGGTAAATAGGACTGGTTAGTTATATGATGCTACATCTTCTAACACTGGCCAAAAGATTTCTTGCCCTTTTTCTAGCTTAAGGAGACACTGAATTTGACGTGTAGTCATGTCCCAGCAGCTTGACATAAAACCTGAGCAGCTGCTGTGGTCTCTAAAGATGCTCTTAGCTTGGGCCAGCCGCAAGATAGAAGATACATGAGTCTAGCTAATAATTAGCTGTAAGAGACGTTAACCCAGAGCTATCCTACCAACAGCTAAGCCGAGATGCAACTGAGTAAGCTAAGACCTTTCTTAGGGTTTCAGTTTTTCAAGGGGAGCAGCTCCTTCAGATGCCACATCTTGACTTGGCATCTGAGCTTAGCAAATAAATGGGCCTGATGAGACCCACCAGTGTGGAAAATCTGTATTTTTCAGAGGATTATGGCCTCTCTTGCCTAAGTCTTGGCTTTCATTTAATTTCTCCAGCAGCTGCCTTGCTCCCCTGTCTCATTGTGGCATCTCATTTGGGTGTCTGTGTCCACATCAGTGAGATGGAGCAGGTTGACCTGAGACACAACCATATGGATCAGCAACAAAAGAACAATGAAAGATAGGACAAGAGGAAATGGTCTCAAGTTGCGTCAGGGGAGGTTCAGGTTGGACATTAGAAAGAACTTCTTCACTGTAAGAGTCGTTAGGCATTGGAACAGGCTCCCCAGGGAGGTGGTGGAGTCATCGTCCCTGGAGGTGTTCAAAAAATGTTTAGATGTGGCGCTTCAAGACCACAAGGTTTAGTGGACATGGTGGTATCAGGTACACGGTTGGACCTGATGATCTTTGAGGTCTCTTCCAGTCATAATGATTCTATGATTCTATGATTCTAAGAGTAATTCTGACTTTTATTATGCTTTGAAAAAATCTTCTCTAGAGTAATCTACTTGCTGTTAAAGAGGTAAATTCTCTACAGTAATCCAATTGCTATTGAAGAGGTAAATAAAAGGAGCCAATTCTCCAGAAATCTCAACTCTGTCTCAGTCCCGGAAGGAGCCACCCTAGCAGGGTTATCCATGCCTTCAATGAAGAAAGGCTTCCCTCCTATGGCTGTCTCAGTCTCAATCCGGTTACGGTAGTCGTAAACAGATACTAAGATCTCATGGTTTGGCTTTTCTGCACAATTTTGTCCCTAGTTGACGATGCCGACTGGAAACCACTTCATGGTGTTCCAGTAGCAGCAAACCAGAGGTCCCCCACTGTCCACCTACGGCATAAGGAGGATGTTATAGCAGGACCAAACCTCAGGTCTCTCATAGCAGCTATATCCCACAGGTTGATTGGGAAAATCAAATTCTGTCCTGAGTTCGTGAGGATTTGGGGGAACAAGGACATTTTGGACTCAAAACTTCACAGCTCAGCCCTGAGATCCCTGCAGAATAAATAGATACAGAAGGTAAGAGGAGGAGATCAGTCGCAAGCTCTGGCTCAGTCCGATGCCCGGTCCTTCTCAGCCTTTTCCACATGCTCCCGTGGCCCCAGAAGGGTACCTGAATCCTATCACCAAGAGACAACATCCAGGAGTGAAAAGGGACATTTGCTGTGACTGTTCCTTCAGTCCTTGACTTCTCTGCAAAACTGGTACAGGTAGGTGCTGGGTACATGCCACTGTTAATTTTGGGAGCTAGCATCCAGAAATTGGACAAAAGATGAATACTAATCCTGACAAATCCTTCTTGCAGCCACAGTAATTTTTCTGAAAACTTGTCTGCTACTGCAAGGGCAGCCATCCCTCACCCAGTGTGTGCAAGCCTTCACACGCACCTTGCGGTCACCCTGCAAAGAGGACTATCCTCCTGTCGGCTGCTCTAGCTTGAGCACCAAGAGCACATCGAGCTGCTCGTATGACCTCTGCGTGCAATCGCTGAACACAATCTGAGTACAAAATCCACCCAGCCAGGTACAGCACTTTTCTGACAGTTATGTATATCTTAAGTGCTGTGCAGCCCCTACTCTAAATGTTTCCTTCCACGGTGGGTGTGAATCTTTTTTCTACCCTATCTCTAGTACATATGGCAAATAAATTCAGTACAAACCCATTTCCCGAGACAGCCAGCTTTCCTGGGAAATGTTGCCCTTCCCTCTTTGCACACTACTTTGAGAAATGTCTTTGTCATTAATGTATGAAGCCCCTTCCGCCGGCAGCTACCCTGAGCTATAACACACATTAATTAATGAGTAAGGAAGCGGCTGTAGTCCCCTGTGCAACTCATCAGCACCCACTAAAGTTTATGGCTGAATTCCTACCCACTTCACTAGATGGAAGGCTCAGGTCATTAACATGTTTATCTTTTTTTTTATTTTATTTTTTCTATTTTTCTTTTTGGTTCAACAGGCATATAGGAGGGAAAAATTAAGATAAATACAGAGCAAATATTGCTCCAGCATTCGCAGACTCATAGAATCACCATTTAGGATGGAAAAGACCTTTAAGATCATAGAGTCCAACCATAAATTCAATACTGTTTGCACTGAAATGGTGTTATTATAGCTACGTGTCTGTACCTCAGCCAGTGGTGCTGGACCCTCTTCAGACTCAGGATCTAAAGACGTTTCCCAATCCTGTTTCAGCCAAGAAGTTGCTTGAATCGCAGAAGTGACCTTGCAGTGACCTTGGATCCATATGTTCTCAGCGTCCTCAGCAATGGCATCCTGTTTGAATGAATGAACATCTCCTAGGCTGTGCGCACAATTAAATTACTGGGATTTTTACTGCTAATTCCCTCAAGGCAGGAACAGGCCAAATACATTATCCCAGTAGCGAAAGGAAGGCACTTCGAGCCTCCTACACAAAGATAATAAATGAAGTCAAGAGAGTGGGAGCCGTTCGCAAGGCAGTGACGCAGCAACGGCTGACAACCCCTCATCGGTGATATGTCGGGATGCGTCGTGCCAGCTTTTCCAAGTACAGGAGATTTTTTAGCGCTGGCAAAGCCCCTGCACATGGTTGGGGCAGATCAGTTTTAGTGTCGAATTTGGAGGCTGTTCACACTTGCAAAGGATTTTTCTCCCAGGGCGCTTAAATACCAGTTAATTCCTGATACCTTGTGCCTATCCTTGGGGGCTGGAAAAGTCTTATCGTATTTCATAGCTGAGAAAACCACAGCAGAAAAGGGATGCGATTTGCATGAGGCAATGGCAGAGTCAGGAATCTCTCTCTAAACTATACATCACGCAGTTTTCCTTTTGAATCAGATCTGCTTTTCCCTGTTTACCTCTTTAGCCATGTTCATTTTGTTCTCTGCCCGGTCGGTGGGGAAAGGGAGAGCTGTCTGCAGGGCTTGGGGGACTGTCAGCTGTGGAAAGCGATTTAAAACCTGGGCCGAGAGGGAGTCGGGCAATGCTGTGAAAACCCAGGCAGCAGCTGCAAAGCCATTTCTCTAATCCACAAGCCCTGAGACCCAAATCCTGCTTCAGATCCCTTTCCCCACGGGCCGAGCTGGTCAGCTTCATGGGTGCAACATCTAACATGCCATTTCTCTTAAATTCAGCTATTTAACCAGACGATTTTATCACAAAGTGGGTTAAATCATCCTCTCTATGTGATAATCTCACCCACATAATTATAGCGGTAGCCCGGATGAATCAGTAGCCTGTTTTTTATAGGGCTAAAGATAGAGAAAATAAACTCAGTTCTTGGACACTTCTGACTATCCCCGTATCCACCTCAAGCTCTCAGAAACACTGGCCCAAGGTTTTCCATCCTTGTGGAGGAGAGGGTGTGGGAGGAGTGAGCTTTGAGTGCTGGTGTAATTATCTCAGCTCTGTGATGTTTCCAGCAGCACTAATTTAATGAATGCTCAGGTTAACGACTCTGAAGATCGAAGAACTTATTAAATACTGCTTTCAGCCTCCTGTGTGGCAGTGGTGAAATACTTCTACTTCTGGTCAGCAACACACATCAGATACCTGCTCTGCTCTCCAGTCTCAGTGCCAAGCTTCTGGACAGAAAAAAAAAAAAGCTAAAAAGAGCATCTTTGCTTTCTGGTTGATTTTCATTCATCTTCTAGTCACCTTAAACAGTGACACTTCTCAACTAGAAGATGAGTGAAAAGCAATGACATCAAATCAGACCTGGTGCTGAATTCGTGCTTTCCACAACTGCATGTTAATCCTCCCATTAGGAGAGGTGAGAGCGGTGATGTATTAGCTGGTAAATAGTTGTGGGTCGTATAAAAACTGTCACTGACTAACAAGGCGCTTTGTTCACTGAAGCTGATCAAAAGTTTCATCCTTTTCACCACAGCCAAAACCTTTTTGTGAACACCAGGAGCCTTTCTGCTGACTTCAGTGGGCTTTGGATCAAGAGTGTAATCGTCTTCCTTTCGTATTTGTATTCATGTCTGCAACACGGTAATTGATCAGAGCAAACACGTTCAGCCACATAAATCATCTGAGGTGGGAGAAGTTCTGAGGGAGGGAGAACAACCCATCTGATACTCATTAGGTGGATATACAATCCTCGCAAGTCATCGCTGGTTTCATTTTCATTTTGGCAAGCTCTGTGTAAATCGGAGAGAATCAGCACGTGGATAATAACACTTGCCATTAGAGCTGCCCTGGCTGCAGGAAGTACAGGCTTTTGCAAACAGATGATTTCTTCAGTTATGTCACGGTGAACAAGCCATCCTCCGAAAAAGGTGGAAGGAAGGAGGCTACAGCCATTTTTAGTGGCCAGGTATTGAAAATGAACCAGGTAACACAGGGCACCCGGACTCCTTTCATGAGATCTCTTTGACATCTCAGGTGAGACCCTTCAGCTACTCTGTCCCTCCATCCCCTTGCTGGAAAATGGGAGAACAAGGCCACCTGCCTCCATCCACACTGATGTCAGGGGGTCCATTAGTAACCACGGTGGCATGGACTTAGAGGCCGGTTATAATGCATCTGGCCCAGACTCCTGTCTCTGACAGTCATCTGTGACAAGTGCTCAGGGAAGGGGAATGAGAAACAGGGCAAGTATTTACAGAGTTGTATTTACATCACAGTGGTTAATAGCCTTAGAGAGATCTCCATCCAGGAAGTTATCTAATTGCTTTTTGAATCCATTTATCCCTTAGGATAAATACCCACAACATCCTGGTCAGTGATTTCCATAGTTTAATTATCTGTTGGATGAAAAAACACTTCCTTCTCTTTGTTTTAAACCTGCTGCCTGATAGAGCCATCTGATACCCCCTCCTTCGTGTGTTTTGAACAGTAGTGACCAGAGGACAGCTCTTGACTGTCCCCTCCTTGCTGCCCATGACCTTAGAATGTCACACCCCCTTCAGACATCTCTTTTACAAGCCTCAGAGTCCTGTTGTGTTATTCCCCTTCCCACCAGAAGCCATTCCATGTCCCTGTTCATCCTTCCCACTCTACTCTTCTCCTTTTGTAAAACTACTCCTCCTTTCTCAGATGGGGTGGACAGGAATCCCACACAGCACACGAGATGTAGGCTCCCAAGATCAGTGCCCTGACATAACATCCATTTGCTTTGCTACTTATTCGTTTCCTAATAATTCATAATGCTCTCGTTACCTTTTTGACCTCTGCAGAGCCTCATGCTGATGTTTCTGAAGGACTATTCACAGTTACTCCAAGATCTTCTTACGTGGTAACAGCTAATTTAGAGCCTATTATTGCATGCCTACAGCTGGAGTTGCTTCTCCCCATATTCATTACTTTTCCTTTATCAACAGTGAACTGCATCTGCTGTTTTAACCTCCAGTCACTCAGAATAATGAGAGCCCGCTGCACCTCTGCACAGTCAGTTGTAATTTCGACCACTCTGAATAACATTGTGGCATCGGCCAACTTGGTCATCTCAGCATTCGCCTTCCCTGAGCACCACGATTCCTTGCACGGATGCCAACACAACTCCTCTTGTAATCCCCTTCTCTGGTCAAATTCTTCCTCCATGTTGCCTCGTTTCAAACCGAAGCCCTTCTACTTCATGACAGTTCAGTTTCTCCATGAGCCTTCGGTGAGAAAACTCATTAAAAGAGTTTTAGAGATCTCAGCGCATTGTATCAGCTGGATCACTCTCTGCCACATGCTTGTCTACTCCTTCAAAGAATTTAAATCTGCCGGTGAGTCATGACTTTCCCTTAAAGCTGTGTTGACTCACTGTAATTGAATAAGAAGCGGATCCTCTGAGTCATCACACCCATTCCCCAACTCCGAGGGCAAGCACACAGTAGGTTTTTGTGTCCAGCTGGATCCAGAGATGCTCTACTCCCCACAGCTTCACTCACCAAGCACACAAAGCATTGCTGGACCCCCTTGCTGCAAACCAAACAACTTCAGTTGGAGGGACCAAAAGCTACAAACCAGAGGAAGAAAGCAGGAGAGACATGCGACATCATCAACATCCCATGTCCTTGCAATAGGAAGGAATGTTTTTGACAAATTAAAGAATTAAGCCACCACAGCCTGAAAGTGTTCACTTGTCTGCCCGTATCATAAAATGATAAAATGATGAAAGCCTTATAAAACCACGGGACACAGGAGAAGTGTTCCAATTCTTATGAGCTGCGTATCAAAGCACCCTTCAGAAGCAAATTTAAGAGACTGCAACTGCAGAAACACCTTTCCACTGCTTTGTTTTGGGGCTTCCCAGGATACCTTCCTACTTAAAGCAATCTCTCCCTTAGGGTAAAAACCCCTTCCTCATCATGTTAGCAATAGTTCAGTGACGGAGAACCCGCCGCAAGGGTGGAGAGTGGATCACTCTCTTCAATATTAAGGTAAGGTACAATAGGAAAGTCATGTTGTATTAACTAGTCATAACTTTGAACTGAAATGTGCTTAGCTTTGACTCCTGGCCCCCAGGGGACCCTTGTCTGGTAGGCAGAAGGGCCTGTAACCTCAGACCTCATACAGGTACTCTCCATCCCTACAGACTGCAGTCAGACCATCATCGATCCACCTCGCGTCAGATATTTTGAACAGCCTGAGGGATTGACCACGCTTCCCTGGTTTGTGACCTTTTGCTTGCATCTCTGATAATTTACCTATATGGACCCAATTTTCATTTGCAGGCTTGTTCCTTAAAAAATTCTATTTCAGAAGTCTTCCCTTGCAATTTTGGAGCCACGTTAGCACCAGTAAAAGGATGCCAGAGCTTTTGTCACTTCTGCACTGGTTTAGCACTCTTCTGCACAGCTGACATGAGCGTGCAAGGGGTGAGTTCAGCTCCAGGCTGATCACCTCTCCTCAGTGTTCCCAGTGCAAGTGTCAAGCTCCCATTGCAGTCATATTACCGAGGCATGGTTTGAGGTGGGGGCAGTGGGATGCCAGGGGGATATCCTGGGACATCTAATATAGCACTGGAGACTTAGATGTAGGCACCAGTCCCGCCTTGGAAGCCATGTGTCTCCCTGCGAGCCAGACACCTTGGACTTGCTTTTAGTTAATGGGCAGCAATAAGCACTCATACAGGGATTTATCTCATTTTAAAATAGATGGTTACAAGAGTCTTAATGACTCACATGTCAGAAGTGTTGTGTTTTTTTCTCCCCGTTGATGGAAAGGTGATTCGGTAGATGCAGATGGCTATAGAAAAGACATTTGTACCTGGCCGGATAAATCCCACCCAGGGCCGTACAACAACTACTGCTATTGCTATAGCTATGTGGGGTGAGAGCCCCGAGCATTCCAGACAGCGTAAAGGGCATTTGCCCTTTCCAAACTGCTGACAGTTCTAGGTGGGCAGGACATATTGCAGGTGAAGGAAAGAAGTCCTTCTCCACCTTTTTCACAGAACTAAAGAAATCAAAACCCAGAGACCTAAATGCAACCTAGCATCATTTCCGCATTTATCAGAGACTGCCAAGATCACCTCCTGCTACAACTGATGGAAGGGGGTAGACACCTTCAGCCCATGACTTGGATCAGCCCCACACCAGGGGACAATGTAGGGTACGGTGAAGCTGAGCCGGAACAATTCCAGTGCTTGTTTGTAGGCACACAATGATTCCTTCCCCTGACAGTAAGGCCAGGGACTGGGCCCCTCTTCATCTGCTGTTGACCTGAACTGTGCGTGAACTGTGACTTCCAGCTGAACATACTCTGTCCTTAATCACCACATCGCAGAGCTACCCCCACAGACCTCCTTTGCAGAAATTCTCTGAAATATAATTGGGCCATTTGCTGAATTTTGTCTGGATAGGCAAGATGCTGAAGGAGGCATTTGCTTTGTGAGTCCCTCATACTGTAATTATTGTTCAAGTTACCGTTGCATCAGAACCTAACAAAAGATGCTTAAGAAAGCAAGGAATTAGACATCAATTGTGGTTCATGGGGTCATGGAAGAAATGTAGCAAACAAAAAAATAACACACAGGCCATCTCTAGTGTCTGTTCTTTAGCACTTGTACCCCATGAACATCCATTAATGCTAATGTTTATGACTAAATAGAACTATAAGTCAATTACAGATCCTGTTAGTGTTAATTCACAGTCAATCTATATATTTGTCTGCAGAACCGCTAGGGAATTGGAATACAATAGATTTTTCTTTTTAAGTGAATGGATTTTTTTTTTTAAAGTACAAACACTTGGGAGCTCTGCTATTCAATCTCCTTGAGTTATTACAGGAGTATGGTCAGTGATCCACAAATTAGACTTGTCTGGTACCAGTACGATGGCAGCTGGTGAAATGTCTGAGCCTTTCTGTTCATGTCCTGTTGCCACATGGGGGTATTTAGGCAGTGGTCAGTAGGACAAACCTTCTACATGATGCCTCAGTGATGATATCTGTGTGGCTTTAGTTACTCACATAAAACAACTTGCTGCAACGGGAAAAATCTAGCGCACAAACGGCAAACAGTGCAAAGACTTAGGATGGTAATCCTTTGGATCCAGGTGAGGATCAGGTGGGTGTGCAACCTTAGGTCTAGATGCAACTTGTCCATCTTAGCCTGGCTCTGGACATGAACAAATGTATCCCGATCCTCAGCAAAGCTCAGGTAAGGTTAATATAAAGCTTTTATCTACTTTCTGTCCAGACAGATCATACATCTACGCAGTGCATGGCTTCCAGGTTTCCTGTGACCACATCTACAATAGCAAGCTCATCATCTCCAGGGCTTGCTCCCTGACCAGGGGTCTCTGCCTTGCCTGCTCTTTCCTGGCCTCTAAACTGGGGTGCCAGGATCCAAAGTGATTATTGTGGGTGGCTTTTGACCCATGTAAAAGCTGGAGTTGTGTCTGGAAGTCATCCAGGAGACAGCTGGTTGGCACAGACCAAAACCATGCCCAGGGCTGCTCTACCTCCTTGACAGTGCTGACTTTGTACAGGATTTAGCTATTTTGAAATCTGGCCTCATTCTCATTTGACAAAACCCCCATAATCTTTATAGAAAAGCATAGCTCGATAGATTGCACTAAGTGTGCCTTGCTATCTGCCCAGGGCAGATGAATTGACTGTCCAGTGGTCCGTCCTGCAGAGCAAGCATCAGGTTTGGCCCTGGCCCCCCAGTTCATTACCAGGCCAAAATGTGCCCTACCTGACTCTATCAGCTCTTCCCAGAAAACCATCCATCAGCAAAATGATTCCCCTCCAGCAAATTAGCAAATTCTAATGAAAAGTTCTGTCACCTGTTTCTCCTCTGAAGAGCTCCACTGCTAGCCTAGGACATGGTTTTGTCTTGCTCTCTTTATTTCAGGTTGCAAAATATTTCTGCCTGGTCAAGGTTCCACTAAAAGTGGGCAGTTTCTGGGTTATGAGCATTATCACACATGCAATCATTGTGTACTTTCGCTGCTTGGAAAGCTCACATTTCTCAGACGACTCTAACATTACTGTAGATCAAAATAGCACCCTCATCAGCTTTCTGAATACAGGACATTCATTTTCCAGGGTACAAGTGCTCTTGCTGTTTCACCAGCATAATTCAGCTGCAGAACTTCAGGCTGGGCTGGGAAGTGCATTCTTTAATCATGTTAATGTTATCCTGTGGCAGTTTTCTTTTTAAAATTTTTGATTGAATTTAATGGAGGTCAAAGTCACTAGATGAATAGTTTCAGAGACAGATGCTCTCTGGCTCATCAAAAAATGATTTTGCAAAGCAAACTTCTCCTCCGCTGCCCAGCGATGGGCGAAGCTCGAAATGGCTTTGTAGTCCATGGTCCCTGTACCCGCAGTCCTTGTCTAAAGGGCAGGGGATCTCTCTCTGTCCTGGCTGTTGTTTTAGTTCCCTCAATGAATGATTCCTACAGGATGAAGCTGTGCATACATGTGTCTGCCCAGCTGTCCCCCGGCAAACACACGTACACGTCTAAGAAAACCCCTGCCCAGTGGAGGATGGAGACCTCAGTCCTGACACAGAGGCTGCAGGAGAGCCCAGTCCTTACCAGGCTCTCAGAGGAGGGGTTGGGGGTTGGATGCTATGAAAAAAAAAGATGTCTTTTGGCTTTCAGACTTTGTTTGGCATCAGGACCGAGGTCCTGTGGGTGGAGTATGGTGTGAGGGCACAAGTTGTGAGTGAGGTTTTCCCACATTTGGGTGTTTGTGTCAGCTCTCTCCCCTTAGCAGTCCCTGACATGAAATACCTCTCGAACTCAATAATTCAGCTTGAAATGTCCATCACCCTATATCACTATCTCACTGCAATAAGATGTGACTAGTTCTGGCACTCACAGACCAACCTGACGTGTTAGCAGAGGACATTTGGATCAGAACCAAGACCTCACCTGGGAAAGTTTCTAATATTCAAATTAAACATTCCTGGATGAAATTCCCCTCCCAGTTCTTTTGCTTTGACCCTCCTGGACAAACTTTCCTGACTCCTTCAGTGCCTGGGGCAGGGCTGAGGGGACACCAGGCAGGAGGAGGACACAGCCCATGCTGTGCTGAGCCCTCTCTGCAGGGACGCGAGACCCACCCTGCCCAGGTCAATATGCCTTTGCAGGCAGTTCCTTGGCCACTGGGCATCCTGCTCTGGCCTCCTGCCGAGAAGCTTTAGCAACCCCAGGAAGCTGTGGGAAGGACTGATGTTCATTCCTGAAGCAAAGGTGCTTCTCCTCCAATGACTCTGTGGCCTTGTAGGCAGCATGGCCATTTGGGAGCCTGTTTGCTTTACCTGGCACGAGCCTTCTTTTCCTTTCTCCAGCTCAGCACACGTCACGTTCTCCACTAGCTGCGGGATCCGCTCCAAGCACTGCTCCTTGCTGATGAGCTTCATCCGCGCTTTCTGCAGCATGTAGGATGCTGGCACGGCAGCTGCTAAACAACAAGTGAGAAGAGAACGATTAACAAAATCTGCAGAGCATTGTAGACTTGTAAGGGTGAAAGCAGAGCCAGAGACTAGCCCTTGGCAACACTCTCAGTTGAATTTATAAAGCATCTCAGGGCAAGAGGGTCTCAGGGCACAACTGTATGGTCTTGGGGTCATGGGGGCTTACAGGGGCTGTCCAAATCATAGAACCATAGAATCATTGCATCACAAAATGATTTGGTTGGAAGGGACCTTAAAGCCCATCGCGTTCAACCCCCCCTGCCATGGGCAGGGACACCTCCCACCAGACCAGGTTGCTCAAAGCCCCATCCAACCTGGCCTTCAACACTTCCAGGGATGGGGCAACCACAGCTTCTCTGGGCAACCTGTACCACTGCCTCACCACCCTCACCGGGAAGAATTTCTTCCAACTGTCTCATCTAAATCTCCCCTCTTCCAGTTTAAAGCCATTGCCCCTTGTCCTATCATTCCCTGCCCTTGTAAAAAGTCCCTCCCCAGCTTTATTGTCGGCCCCTTTAGGTACAGGAAAGATGCTCTAGGGTCTGCCCAGGGCCTTCTCTTCTCCAGGCTGAACAACCCCAACTCTCTCAGCCTGTCCTCACAGCAGAGGTGCTCCAGCCCTCGGATCATCTCTGTGGCCTCCTCTGGACTTGCTCCAACAGGTCCATGTCCATGATAGCAAAGACAAATTTGTGCTCTTGACTTTATGCCAGACTAGGAGATGGGTACGTAGGTAGATGGGGATGTGGTGTTAATGGGCAAAACTGAAATCCTGGTGAGTGGAGGCTTCCTAAACAGGATTTTAAAAAAAAATCACTTATTTTTGTAGATGAACTCTGGGATGTGGTACAGCTGAAGACCCTCAAAGGGATGACTTATCCTGCTTGTCTTGGTGATGACCTGAGATAAGCAGCACTGCACACCTTGGGTTTCTCACTCACATTACTGGGGAACTCGGTTTGAGGGACTCTTCATGGGGTCCTGCATGAACCTTGCAGAGGAAAGTCCACTGAGTTTTCCCCAGAGCAGACCATCTTGTTATCCCCACGCTCTCCTGGGGGGCTCTGAGGCCATGCCTCACCCAGGGGACCAGCTGTATCCTTCACAAAGTGGCTCTCAGGATGGCAGCACGCAATAGAAATAACTGTTTTATTCTTCTCTGGAGATGGGAGAACAGAAATTGCAGTGGGCACTAGCAAGCGACAAAAAGAGTAAAAATATGCAGGGTTACTTGGAAAAAACAGTCATTTTACCCATGTTTCTCTTTAAAGTGAACCTGAGTCTGAAGGATAAAACTGACTTTTGGAGGATATTGCTGCTGGGCAGGAGACCTACTGATTTTCAGAAACTCATTCCTTTTCCCATATTCCATCTTCCAGCACCTTCAGGAAGGTGGGACTCAAAGATAAGATCTCAAAGATAAGATCTAAGAGATAGAAAGTTGTCAGGTCCCTATCCCAGCTACGATGAGGCCGCTCCATGGAAGTGCCCACAGATTAAAATGCTTTGATGTAGGTATCTCCAAGGAGGTGGTTCCACTTGCTGAGGTCTAATTGACTGTGGTTGAAGGGGAATCAGGCTAGTGCCACCTGAGGTGCCAGACTGAGAGATGTCCACCTACAAAAGGCTGATAGAAATGAGAAATGACCTATTTTTTTTCCCCCGCCAAGGAACAATGGCTCACAATTTTTGGAATGGCCCATATGACACCATCGCACATCCCTCTCACCAAACTCAGCTTCTGCTGGTTTTCTTCTGAAACATCTCCCAAACAGAAGGGATGTGGGCCAGGGCTGAGCGCACTGACCTCAGGCAGGGTGCAATTTTGATAGCAGTAGCGATGTCAGCTGAGCCCACACAGCACCGTGAGTCTGATCTCCAGAGCCACGCCGTCCTTTTTGCAAAGAGACTAGCTGAAGAGCAATCCCGCCAAGCTGCAGAGCGACTCTGCAGCAGCCCCCGGCTTTTCTGTTTCTAAGAGCACGTTACCTTGGTGAAATGGGAGAGTTTCACAACTATAAAACAGTGTTGCGTTGTGTATTACTGTTACGTGAGGCAAATGAAGCCTAAGAAGTAAAATGCAGTTTCAGAGAGAAGACGGTAACCCTTTGGAGCAGAATAGCAAGGATTAAATGGGACACTCACACACTACATCCTAGGAAGGACTGTTAAACCCCCAAGGCACCACCCTGCCCACTCTCTCCTGATTAATTCTTTCCAATAACGAAATCGCTCATTAGCCATTTAGTGACATTTGTTCAGGATAGACATTTTGGGTCACAATCAGTGCTGGAGTTACTTTCATTAGGGCTTAAACGAGAGCAATTAGCAATAGCAATCTGCTGATCTAAATGAGTGAAGAAGAAGGGTGGCCAGTACCATTGAATCAATCTGGTTCATGGAAGCATTACAACAAAGATAACCCGAGACCTTAATTTCCCTTATTCCAGACCACTTCAGACCCAGCCTAACTTGCCCATCGGGGTGGAGCTTGTCTTACTTTGGATGCCAAAAAAATGCATCCAAAGGAAGGCTGAGCTCCTGCAGAGCAAAGGTGGCTGTCAGGTTTCAGTTGAACACACGTGCTCAGAGTACCAGGGACTTTGCTCTGGGGGTCAGTGGGTAACTGGTTCTTGCACTGAACAGAGAACTGGCGGATGTGCAGCAGCTGCCGGGGTCTGGATGTGTTTACCAGGGAGGTAGGGAGTGGAAGTTAGTGTGGGTAACCTCTCCTGGCAGAGAACATCTACGTTAAATGGATAAAAAACAGCCTCTGTTAGCAAATACATCTCCCGACAGCATCTCACCTGCATTTTTGGTTCCCCACCCAGCAACCCAGCAGTCTTGCCACGAATCAACGTCATGCATGGAGGGCAAGCAGATGGGGATTTTCTCATTGCTGAACTTGATGGGAGAGTTGCACAGGATCAGAGAAATATCATTTTGCATGCTCTTTCTGTCAAAGTTTTCGTGGATGATCAAGCTGTCCGGCTTGTATTCTTCCAGCGGGAGGTTGAGGTCAGTTCCCTCCGCCACAACAGTGAGATCTGGTGGCCTTTTAACAAAACAGAAGCAGCGCAGACATAAGCAAACATGAAGGCTTTGTGTTGGTGCCTCCTTCCCCTGAGCAGGGTAGGGTGGTGCTCAGCAAATTGCAGAGGCAGGTTAGCCATAAATATCGCAGAAATCTCCCCTCACTTCTAGGCAAAGTTAATTTTCAGGGGAGAGAGGTGCAGAGGTAGAACATGAATGCAACCAAGTTATAAACAGCCCAGTCGCTAACAAACAGATGGAGTGGGCTGGGTCTTCTGGATGGCTGTGCCCTGGACCACGTTGCCCCCAGCCAGCTGCTCCAGATTGTGATGTCTCAGGTCATTTGTCACCGAGCAACCTCGGCTCTCGGACCTGCCGAATTTTGGAGGGGGCTCAAAGAGGGTGGGACTCTGACCCTGGACATTGCATGGGGTTGATTTATGCAGAAACTACTGTTTTAAAATCAGACTTTCCAAGAGATAAAGATGTTTGCTATATGAAAGCAAAGGTACTTTGGGGGTTAGAATAAGCTGGAATGGAATACATCTCTTTTTACAAGGTACCGCAACATGTGTAGACGTACAGGAAATGCTTGGGACCATCAGAACAGCATCACGGGCATTTATACAAGGCTGCTCAGACCACCCTTCAAAATATTCCCCTTCTGCATCTCCTGGTTATGCAGATTTCAGCACATTTCTGTTGCAACACTATCTCTGATGAAAAATGGGCCTGTTTTCCCATTTTTCCAAATGAGATGGAAAATGGGCCATTTTCCCAAAGGAGACAAGTCCTGTTTTCAGGGCTCATATATGTCGCACTTGACCCCAAGGACATACATATCCTACACCCACAAGGTGCGATGTTATCAACCCCATCGGCTTGGGCTGTCCTCGCTTCCCTTGAGTACTCACACTTCCTCCACAAAGCAAAGGGCCACAGCTAATATCCACAAGACGCTGATGATGGTGCCTACGCAGAGATGTTTCCAGTTGCTCTGGATCCTCACATGCCACGGGAATTCCCCAGCCTTGGCATATCTCCCCACTGCGATCCTCTTGCCGGTCTCCAGAAAGGACTCGTAAGATGGTCGGAAGCCACACTCTGGGTTTGAAATGAAACATATTGCTCACGTACAGCAGTGCCACCACCTGTGCTACTAAACTAGAGGGCAAGACATCAGCTAAAGCACTGGTCTATAATTATCCATGCTACTTCATCTCTACCAAAGGCCCTGGTATCACTGTAGCCTCCCCAAACCTGCACTTTGCCAAGCACTGCCCAGGCAGTTTGGGGGCTAGCAGGGCCATAGATCATCTCCCATAGGCAGGATGGATAAAATCCTTGTGCAGGGAGTATGAGTGGAAGAGTTCAGCACCAGGCTGTAGCACAAGCCGTATGTATATGCCATCAGGTACAAGGAATAAGCCCAGGCCTATTTCACTTACCAGCATGTGTGTATACTGCAGGGCTCCAAGCGGTTCTGTTCCGCTGCTCATTTCTGAGCATAAGAAATTCAGGAAATAAACGTTTGTTGACTCTGTCAATCAGAGAAGCAAAACACATGAGGGTAAGGAGCCGCATTTCGATCTGTCTTGGAGTAACACTCTCCGACAATATTCAGAGGAGTGATGCTCCTGCAGACAGCTCAGGACAACTCCCTCGCTCTGAATGCTCACCGAAGACAACACACCTCTCTGCCACAGCAACCAGGGCGTGACATCACGCATTCCGTTTGTTTCCGTTGACGTCACAGATGGATGCTGCCCTCCCTAAGGCAACGAGGGGAAGCTCAGTGATTTCCAAGAGGCTTGGCATTTGCTTTAGCTATGATAAGGACAGGGCAGCAGTGAAACTCCTGTCTGTGTCCTGGACTGACTGGCACAGGGTATTGCAATGGTGGGCTTCATGAGCTGAGTGCCGTAGCCCTTTTGGGATCTTGAACCATGTTCTTGTCTCCAAAGACCTTAGACTCTGGTCCGACATCAGCTTTCATCTTTGACTCTGAGAAGTGCTGAAGCCTATCAAACTATGAATTAATTTTCTCTTTTTCGTTTAGACTGTATCTATGTTCTCAGAAGAAAGAGGCAGCTCTGTGATAGGGTAAATTTCAAACAGTGCTGCATCAAAAGTACAGCATCAAAGATGTTGAGGCAGCCACTCCCTTCTTCCCTAGGGGAAAGGGTGGCTTACAAGACCAAATGCATCTTAAAAACTAATCCATGAGGCTGAATAATTAACATTTCACCTTTACTGATTATATCTCTGATACTCTTTGTACCTTCAGCAGCAAATGCAAGGGGTCAAGGCCAAAACTCCACCCTACAGTAACTCCATAATTCATTCTGTGGTGGCAAAATATTTTGGTGTGGGCCGATTTGAGCATCAGTGGACCCATCTATGCTGATTTCTAAACCAACACATTATTTCCATCAAGACAGAACTTAAAAAAACCTCAGCCAGGTTCAGACTTGAGCCCAGCTATATTAAGGACAGAATGGTGCTTTCTCCTAAGACTTTGCAGCTTGTTTCGAAACAATAACTATAGCGTGGAGCAGGAGGTGAGGGAGGGGAAAGGACAGAAGGGAACCAAGCAACACCTTATGAGCACCCGAGTGATTCAGCACATGACATGTTTTGCCTTGTACATCGGCGCAAATCAGGAGTTATCCCACTGAAGTCTGAATTACGCTGAGGTTAAAAGTGCATAGGATGAAAGTAAGATTTTATTTTCCTCTCTTGGATTTTATGTCACCTCATGCTTAGGAAATGAGACGAAAGTGCTGGTTTCCTTGACAGTGAGCACCAGTGGCACAACAGGTTAGGGACAGGCGATCAGTTACCACAGCAACTGGAAATCCCGAGTGTGATGGGGACACATTTTGGGGCATCTCCAGAAAGAGCCTAACGTAGCAATCCTGCCAGAGGTAGCTCCTCTCAAGCTTGCCCCCAGTATAAATCTGCTGAAAGGACAGGTTTCCTCTGGCTTTTGAGACTGGCATGAACTCAGCACCAGCTGAGGAGCAAGGGAAGATGGGGAGCTAATTTCTCTGGCACAGACATACTGCCTGTCTTTGGATAAAGCAGGCAGGATTTCAGCACTGGATTGACAAGCCCAAAGACTGTCTACCTGATGCACATTTTCAGTCTCTTCAAGCTTGGAACAAGATCTGGTGTGCTGGGTAGTTACAGGAGATGTTCAGGGAGCTGTTTTGGGCCTTTCTGAGTCTAAAATCTGAGCTGGTGAGCAAGAAACATCAAACCAAGATATAGAGAGGAGTGCCATGGAGAGCTACCCAAAAGGAAATGCTGTGGATTTGTGTCTCTGGGTCCCCACTATCCATCCTTCAAAAATGGCTTTATGTGCTCTGCTGCCCAGAACTGACACATCAAGACAGACTCCTACAAGCTTTCGCTGAAGAAAGCACATCTGCAAAAGGACACACCAATGACACATGTTCTTCAAACTTAGTCATTAAGACAGCCTCTAAAATAGGAAACACATGAGAGGCTGAAGCCCACACTTCCCACTGCTCTGGGAAGTATTGCAAGCAGCAAGTTGGATGAGTGGGACCGAGCCATCCCCATCTCTCCTACTGAAGCTGTTTGTCCTACAATACTCCACAGCATATATATGTAACCCATAGGATCCCATAACCCCTTCATCCCCTATGTCCTTTGGCTGTAGCTTTTAGTCTCCACGCTAAGAATCCCATCAATAAAAGGAATATTTTGCCTTTTTCTGGCTGTCCTGCCATTTTGGCTGTATACGCACTGGAGCAGAGACTGCCCGACCTTACGTTTGTCCAGCACCTGCCATAATGAGCTCTGGTCTTGGTGGGGGCTCCACAAGCTATTGAAGTACAAATAATTAATCATAGGAATAATTATGTTACAGTGCCGCCAATACGAATTCTACTCCTCTGTACTGTCATGCACGATGATACAGATTTAAAAGCCCTGGTGTTTAATTAGCAGGCTGCGACCTTTATAATATTTGACACTTTTTTTAGATCTACCCAGATAAATAATTAGAGCCATGGAACACATCGCAGACAACATTTTTCTTTTATTTTTTGGTAATTTATTGTAGTGCAGGAAACAAAATTGATTTCTTTTTGTGTTCACACACTTTTTGGAACTGTCAAAAAGAAGTATCACATTACAATTTTTACTTTTTCTTACTAAATTTTTTTTCAGAAAATAGGCACTATAGGTGTTATTACATGTTGCTGTGAAAGAGGAATTGTGAGAGGATTGCTGATCTTAAATTCACCGTTCTCAAAGACATCAAATTACAGGGTTGATAGTTGTGATGAGCCCAGTCATGTTTCCAGAAGTCAAAGCTCTCATAACACGAGCAAATTCATTAACCCAAGAAAATAAACATGTCTGAAGGCATTAGCTATGCAAAGCAGTTAGCGGGTGCAACCACCTCCTAATCCATTCTTTTAAACCATTTCAAGCCAAACTTTTAGCAGTTTCTTTTCTCTCCAGATTACAAGATTGCAAGGAAATTCCACGAGCTGCACAGAGCAAGAAGCTGCATTCGCCAACAGGCGCAATTTCTGCCACTATTTCAGCTTTTAATGTCGGTGAATGGGAGACTGCTCAGATTACAGAGAACTGCCCCACCAGGTTCCCAAATCTTTATGCACGGATGCTGTGGGAGTACCGGAACATCTCTCAGGGTTGTCGGTCTTTTTTCAAACTCTCTAAAACAAAGTGGAGGTGGTGGAGTAAGCACAGGCTATTTCTTGATCCCAACAGGGCAGGAAAGCCCTGTTCCCCCGAGGCCGCAGTATCCGCCGGGGTTCTTACTGAGGTACTGCTGATGGTAATCTTCGGCGTAATAAAACTCCGGAGCCTCACGGATTTCTGTTGTGATGGGACCAAAACCGCTCTCCGTCAATACCTGTCAAGAAACACGATGAAAAGCCATTAGTGGTTTGCTGGCTTCTCTGCTGAGGAATGACGATAGGTTTTCTCTCTGCAGGAGTCACAGACATCTCTTAGCGCTCGGACCACATTTGCAGCACATCCCTGAAAGCCCTTTATCCTTGCTCTCATGTTATTTTGCCAGGAGACGTTGCAGGCACCAAAGTAGGCGTTGGTGAGAAGAGGTAGTGCACCCTCCTGTTTGAATGGCTCATTTGTTTAATTTGCTATGGCGACACATTCGTGCCTTCCTCTTTATTGACCACACCAGGCAGGGATGTGGTGCCATCAATAAAAGTGGAAAACAAATGTGAAAGGCAGCACAGCACACTTTGATCAAGCCTGGCCAGCTGCCTTGCAGCATCCAAGAACTTCACCTGGCAGGTGCCTCAGCTTTGAAGTCTGCTATCCATTCCAAACGTCCTTCTGCCAAGAAGAATTTCTGGGTGAAATTTTAGCCCTGCTGATGTCATTGGGAAATAAGAGCCTTTGGGCTCTTTTCACAGAGTTGCTGCAAACTCATTCTTCAAAAAGAACAGCTCCATCATGACCAGAAGGGTATTTTTAAGGCAAATTATGGCTCATTTCTGAAAGATTTGCCAATACGTGGAGCAGGAGCAACAATCACTTTGTAGGAAAAGAAGCAGCAATGTGGGTGAGGATTTTAAATTAGACTTTAATTTCTTTCTGATAATCCCTAACTGAATTTGAAACTCCTGAAATGTTTCTGACAGAAGGAATTTCTTTTTAACATGAATTGCCAAGACATTTTTCCTACTGAATTTTCCTTTTCTAAGGAAATTGGTAAGCACCAACAACTTGGAGCCAATACTCATCAACTCAGTGGGGACATAACTTGTGCTTACTGAAGTCCATGATAACTTAATAAGCAGTTTAATCGGTGTCAGACTATTGTTGCAAAGTATACTTGTGAAGTACTGGACGCAGAATTGTGTTGCTATCAGCTGGACTTGACAGTAAGACCAACAGTAAGAACGAAGGGCCACCATTTAAGTTTACCAGACAAATATGCGTTCTTTCATCATACTAATACATAAACCCAATAAAAGGAAACCATCACACAAAATCACAAAAACAGAGCTGGTAGACCTGTTGTAAGCCATCAAGTCCAACTCCTTTCACCCTGATACAACAAATGATAGCTGCCTTACTCCCAGCAAACGTGTTTAACTGTTTCTGAAGGATCTGTGGAGATGATCTCCATCTTTCAGAGACGGAGATCCTCCAGCTTCCTCAAGGAGGCCATTCCAATATTTACCATCCTGTTAGAGAGTTTCTCCTTAAGCCTGGCCCCGTCAAGCCCACTACTTTGATTTAAACCCAGTATTGTGGTTGTACTCATCACGAATGTGGAAAGGAAATCATTCCCTTCCTCTTTGCCATAGTCTTCTACATACTTGGTGGCTGGGCAGACAGAAAGATGACACGTAATGGAAATAATGCTTCCTCACACCATCAGCTAACACTTAAATAACAGGTGATTATTTGGGACCCAAAAGTCTTTGAATTTCCTACAACAGGGTTTCCTAGACCCTGCCTCAGCACAGCTAAGTACTGACCACAGTCTGACATCAGTTGCTGGACTTTGTAGAGCATTAGTCTGATTTATTCTGATTAATCTCACT